CAAACTTGCCCTGAACGATCACTTAATTCGTACTCTTAAGAAAGTGTGTGTTGATTCATTTGACTGATCGAGGTTTGTCTTCTTCTTGTTCTAGTTTTGTGGGAGAGAGCATGCATGATGACAGCACCATGGTGTTTGCATACTACAAGGAAGGTTCCACCGATCCAACTTTCTTGTACTTCAGCCATGGTTTGAAGGAGGTCAAATGTTAAAAAATGAAACTGTGATCACGGTGCTTGGTACTTGTTGTACCTCTACTTTTTCAATATTGTTGGTTGTTTGGTTTGATATTTGTACTATTGCTACTTTTTACTCTTGCGTATTGTTATGTTGGAACATAATTTAGATGGCTTGATATTTAATAACAGTTTTGATCGAAGTGATCAATATTTTGAATTTATCCTTTATGCTGTGAGAAGCCTTATTCGTAGTAGGGACTTGCGCGTTTCGGTTTTTTAGCACTCAAAAGAATTCTTTTCTACTTTTTGTCGGGATCTTTTATCTTAAATGGAATAAAAGTTGGTTCCGAAGCCTTTAGGCTTTAGCAACTTGCTTATGTTTGTTTACAGACCTGACTTAAGAATTTTTCGATAATGCTTGGTGTACAATTTTGTTTATACTCTCGCTCGCACGGGACAGTTTGAAAAAAAAAAAAAAAGTTTTTTATCCCCTTATTTGTTGGCAACAAAGCAGAATGTACAAATGTCATAATTCAAGAATTTTTAGTATCTAGAAGTCTTGCCACTGCACTTTGTCATGAGGAATGATGCGAATATTCGCCTTGAAAAAGGATTATTCTTATTCCCTCTTCAATATTTTTAAAGCTGCATTTTGATATTCGTGAACAAGTTTCAGTCATTAATATAATCAATCTCTTGTAAACTTCTGCAAAGGGAACATGGTTATCCAACTTTAATTTTAATTATACATTTTATTTGAACACCACATCTTTTCACGTATTTGTGTAAATGATAGTGATAATTTCTAACTTGATATGTCGAAAACTTCGAGCCTTCAAGGTTTGTGTAATATTTTAAATGGAAAATTTGCACATTTCATTCCCAAACTTTGTGAATTGTAACAAATATACCATCAATTTATCCTCAATATTTTGATTGCCGTTTCTTCCATTTTGGTCAATTCTGCAGAGCATACTCATGTTTCTATTCAGATCTTACGCCATATCACTCAAATCTAGGACTACTTTGTAAAGAAATGAGAATAAGAATGTAAAAAAAATGGATGTCAAACAAGGGCTAAATGATACAGTTCATATTATCCCCTGTTTAGTGGAGATTTAGATCATAATTTTAGTATTTATTGAAAAAAAAAACTGATTAAATATTTGATTGAAAATTTGTGGATCCAGTTAAATATCTGGTTAAAAATAATTGTTGATTTTATTTTAAATTAAAATTTAGATTTTACTCCCTACCAAACTTGGGATAGATGTAAATATTAAAGTCTTTTGGAAAGGAACTTGTACTCGAACAATTTCTTAGCCCGTGTTTAGTGGAGATTAAAATCAGATTTTTGCAAGATTTTGATAGAAGCTGATTAAATGTATGATTGAAAAGTTGTGAAACCCATAAAATCTGTTGTTAAAATTAATTGTTAACTTATATTAAAATTTATCATTATGATGGTCTCTGCAGGGTTAGAATAATGCTATTTATCATTATGATGATAAAATATCTGTTACGTGGTAGCCTATGTGGAATAATATGATTGAGCAGTTCAATTTTTATGATAGTGAGGGAGGAGAGTGAGGGAGAGAAAAATGTGAAGGATAATGAATTGCTACATCATTGATATTTCATCATCATGAATAGATAGCATTTCTCGCAGGTCTGCAATATGCAAAAGAGAAACAAAGGCTTTTCAAATTAATGTTGAAACTGGTTCTGAGATTTATACTCCGATTGCCCAAAGTTCAGCTGCATTTTCTGCATCAAATGGTTTCTATTCTGTTGAGGCCTTGTTTATTTCTTATTAAAATCGGATTTTAATATAAGTTAAAGTTAAACAATCAATATTAACCACATCTTTCATGGGTCTCACAATTTTTCAACCATACATTTTGTTCACCAAAATATGTCGAATTAAAATCACCGCAAGTATACGATTCGTTACAAGTAATAAAGTAGACTTTTTGAGTCCCGATATCGTTCCCACGAAAATTGATT